TCATTGAGGTGGGGAAGGGGTGTGGTGTTGTTCAGTGAGGTGGGGAAGGGGTGTGGTGTTGGGCGGTGTAAACAAAATTCTACAGTCCTTGTATTTAACACACAACAGATGTCCTATCTTTTTATCTAAAAAGTAATTACATAGATCATTGGATATTTTTTTACAAATCTTTTAAATATAGATTAAAACAACTTGAAGAAAAGGTAAGCACCTGTCAATTCTGTTGTAAATTTGCTCACAAGAAGCCTTAAAGAAATTACCAGTTCACATTTTTGTCATAGATATATCAAAATACCATATTCCTAGTCCTGTTAGAGCGGTTCAATACATTCATGTTTCGTACAACATCACATTCCACTTTGGTTTTGAGCCAATGTTGATCGGATTGTTTTCCATTGCCAGCAGCATCTGTTGAACACTACTTGGGAAGTAACTGGTCGTATAAGTCAAAACAAACGGGGGTGGAGAACAGGGATTACAGACATGTAATGGCAGGTTTAATATATAAACAGTCAACATATGTCCGAGGCACCTGAGTGCTCCTGGTTCTAAGACAGATGGAAAACACAAAAAACGGCTGGAGATAAAATGACTAATTGGCAGGCAAATAACCGAGTCTGTTGGGTACATTGGATGACGCATTGAGTTCATCTCAAGTTATCAGACATTTGTGGCAACTCGGTTTGACAAACGTTTGTTAATTAGTTACAGAAGTAGTCATTTCTTCCCATAGACTATATAAACAATAATTGTTTGTACACCGTTTCAGATACTAGGTATCATTATGTTGTAATGGGCTCTGTGCAAGACTTGCATGTTTTCCTTGTAATTTTCAGTATAAAAGAGTTCCTAGGATCTGAGTTCAGTTGGATATGTGCAAAACTTTTCTTTTTTTTTCTTTTTTTCTTTTTTAAGTAATTAGTTCTCATAGTCCGAGTCTTATTTGTTCTGTGTTAGACTTGGTATGCTATCATCATTTTCAGATTATCAGAAGCTTCCGTGCCAATAGTTGGAACCCTATTGGGAAACTCGGTATGCCTGACATTACAACCACCAGGGAAACCTTACAACCAGGGAAACAGTCATAAAACTTGCAGGGAAACAGTTTTAGTTTACAACCAATTACAAAAGCAGTTGGAAACAAAATTGGCTTTAATGATATATAGTCACTTTAATGATATATAGTCACGTTAATGATATATAGTCACTTTCAAATGAAAAAAAACAACCATTGAAAAAACACATTATTTAGTCAATTTTATTGCTTAACTGTGAATGTTACAAAAAAGTCAACCTTCCCAAGACATCTTATACTTAATTGATATCTACAGAACACATATTGATGAAATTAGTAAACTTGTCAGTTACTCCGCACCATTTATGTTTCTGTACACAAACAAAAGAAAACTGCCTCATTGAAACGTAATAGACTGTGTGTAGTACTCTTTATTGCTGTATGAACCCAGATCAGAGTCTTCAGCTTATGAGAGGTTTCTTGGGTAACAAAATCCAATATATGTACTCCTCTTAGATAAAAAAAAATGTGGGTAATGAAATCCAATATATGTACTCCTCTTAGACAAGAAACGTAGATAACGAAATCCAATATATGTACTGCTCTTAGACAAAAAACGTGGGGAACGAAATCCAATATATGTACTGCTCTAAGACAAAAAAATGTGGGTAATGAAATCCAATATACGTACTCCTCTTAGACAAAAAAAATGTGGATAATGAAATCCGATAAATGTACTCCTCTTAGATAAAAAAAAATGTGGGGAACAAAATCCAATATATGTACTCCTCTTAGACAGAAAAAGGTGGGTAACAAAATCCAATATATGTACTCCTCTTAGATAAAAAAAAAATGTGGGTAATGAAATCCAATATATGTACTCCTCTTAGACAAAACGTGGGTAAAGAAATCCAATATATGTACTCCTCTTAGACAAAAAAATGTGGGTAAAGAAATCCAATATATGTACTGCTCTTAGTGACGTCTGGTGATACCTGAACTGTTTTGACACCAACACAGTTACTAGGGGTATTTCTGGCTGTTTGTTGATTTCTCTGGCCAAGCTTTTGTGTTACTGAGGGTATATATATATTTTGGTACAAGCCAAGAATAGTTGGTGTACATGTAAACATGTCTGTTCCTGTTATCCTGTAGGATGAAAGGGAATGGTTTTGGATTGAAGTGACATTTAGAAGGATATCAGTTCTTTTTACGTACTGATGTGTATTTTATTCTTTATTACTTATTATTTGGAGCTCTTCCTCTGTAGGAAACATGAAGCTGTATCACTCTGTCTCCATATTTCATATATAATACCCTGCCTTTATGTAATAACAACCATTTATGGTTTGCTAAATGTCATACCAAGATCAATGAGGTCATCCCCGACATCCAATTCTGCATTATTCTGTCCATTAGTTGTATCGGTGCTCCTCTAAGGCTGCATGGGTTACTCCCCTTTGCTCATTCCAGTTTGTACTCGGTATTTGACAGACATTTTTTCAATATTTATGGATTGTTCCTGGAACTGACTATAGCTCTAATACATTGTTTACTGGCTATAAACACTGTATTTGGGAATACATATGTATATGAAGTAGTGTTTAATTGATCAGTTTGAGTTATTTGCTGTTTCTGAAGGTGTTTAGTATATGTGCTAATGCTGAGGCCTGGGTTTCATGCCCACTTTGCTGTAGGAATTCTGTGGGAGGGATTTTGGAAGATTATAAGCCATTAGCTTGAATCTGGGGGTGAAATAGACTCTGATTTATAGCTGTTTCAAATCAGGAATTTACTGTGATTTATCATCGACCAGCTTCCATGTCAGTTTGTTTCTCTACCAGAACAGGTTTCAATTCGCTCACAGCAGTCTGAATCCTCAACTTCTTCCAGTTAGTATTGTTTATAGTACATTATGTACTTAAAAGTTCTCTCTGTGTGACTGAAAGTTGATTTAGATAATAGGATAAACTGATACAGCCACTATTAACTTTTAAAGAGAGGAAATATCCTTAGGTTTCATAAAACTTCAAAAATAAGAAAATGCTGCTATGAATAAACAAGCAAATATTTTACTCTGAGCCTTTTTTTGATGCATACAGACTTAAGTTTATTCCTCTTAAACGAACGAGGTTAGGTTTTCTAATGAAAACTTATTGGCCTGATGTAAAAATCATCTAATTAGATGGTTGTGGAATGCATCAATTTTTATACACCTGTCAAATTTGACAGGAGTATTATGGTATGGCGTCGTCCGGCGTAAACTTTTGTTTGTCCGGCAAGCTCCTCCTACATTTTGAAACAGACCACTTTAGAACTTGGTATACATTATAATCATGATATGAAGTTGTGTCTCCCTTGAAAGAATTTTGATTTTACGTTTTTTTTTGCAAAAGTTATTGCCCTTTGTTCATTTCATTTGATTTTTTGTCGGAGATTTTCTGTTACATTTTTTTAAGCATGGCACCTAACCACTCTTAGAATGATTTAAATCTTATTTCAGTGTATGAAAGTTTATAACACTATATGGCATTCAACGGGCGTATATTGTTGCGCCCCGCAGTACTCTTGTTGGTCATGGGAGACAGCCAGCAATACCTGAGAGTTGTCTCGATTGACTATGAATAATTATTTCATACTGTATAATTTTTGAAAGGACAATTTAACTTGGTAATTGGAGAGCACCTAATGTTACAAATAGAGACTTGATAAATTGATTTTGTAGAATTTGAAAGATCAGCAGTTGCTTCCTAGTCAGGAATGTGATGACTAAACCAACTATCATTTGTTGGAACTCTCCCATCTTCTTATTTTGTACATTCCTTGTAGCTGAATATTTGTAACCACCGACCCTGGCTACAGATCTTGTCTATTCTCCACCCATAACTGTCTCTGTGTCAGCATCTCCAGTCTGACCGTCAGCATTGTCAGGCTTCAAACTTAAATCAGGATTTAATAAGAAATATTTTATACGAAAAGTACATCATAAAATGATGATTTATTAAAATCAAAAGATTTCTTAATCATAAAGTTTTTAGTTGATTTTGAAATATTTTAACTTACCCCCTCGCAAGCTGACTATGCTAGTCACTAGCTGGAGCTCCCCGTAAGTTAGTAAATACCTAACATGCATGAAATACATACTTAACAACACATGCAAACCTGAACATAAACAACTTCTAAAGAAGTAATGCCCTAGAAACCTGCTTTGAGTCTCAGATTCCTGTATAAAATAGATTCAGCAGCTCCTGAAAGGTTTCATGCACTACTGCTTAGTTGTAAACTTAGTTTTCAGGTCATTTTTAAAATACTGAAATGTTGGTTAAATAACGTGGAACCAATTCTGCTTATACATTACTATCACAAGTAAAAATGTCCATATTTTCACTCCACAAACTTCCCCTTTCCTTTCTGATATTGTGTTGGTGACTCTGAGTGAGAGTGTGTGAATGGGTGTCATACCTGTGTCATATTTTGTCATTGAACATTGTGTTGTTATATGTTGAGGAAAGCATCTAGTAGCCTCCGGGCTGTATGCAATCCTCGTTAAAGAAACAAAGAATTTAATCATTTGAGTCAGTGTAGAAATGTCCACATTTTGACTCCTCAAACGAGTCAGTGTAGAAATGCCCACATTTTGACTCCTTAAACGAGTCGGTATAGAAACATCCACATTTTGACTCCTCAAACGAGTCGGTGTAGAAATGTCCAAATTTTACCTCCTCCAACTTTACTGTCAGTGTAGAAATGCCCACATTTTGTGTACGTTGTTTGTATACTTTTGTATACATCGAAGATTTTTTGCATTTGAAATGCAGCTGCAATTATAGTGTATTGTTGTTACAGCTACATTCATTTACTGATTTCTACGATAAGATAATTAGTAATGTGCTGAAAATACTGATGCTCAAAGAAAGGTTTTGAGAAACTATTATATTTTTGGCAGTATGCCGAGTTCAATGTTGTCCCTTTGACGTTGTTTCAGGACCTGTCGTACAAGGATCGCCACTGGCACGAGTTTTGTTTCAAGTGTTTTGAGTGCCAGAAAACCTTGGTTGACCAACCGTTTGCTCCAAAAAATGAGAACATCTTCTGCTCCGAATGTCATGATGATAAGTTCGCTGCACGCTGTGATGGATGTGAAAAACCGTTCAGGGGAGGTAAGCATTGTTTTAATTAATTTCTGCATTTAGCAGGAATAGAAGTGATGATGTAATGGTATAAATCACACATACTTTAAAATTGGAGCATATAATGGTGTCCTGACACTGTTCAATAAAGCCGATTTAATTTACTTCAGTTTTTTAATATATTTCTTTGGGAAGAACTCAGTTTTAAACCTTGTTCTTCTTTTTAAAGCAATTTAAACTTAATTTAATTAGGACATCATACAAATTTGTATCTCGTATGGACATATTTTCTAAAACTACCTTCAAATATAATCTGAACTGATCTAAACTATCAATTTTTAGAAATAAAAACTCAGATTGATGGTGGTATTGGACCATTTGATTTTTGCTCCAGTGTGTTAGGTATCGGAACAATTATGTCCTCATAGAAACAATTCTAGTTCTCTGTGTATTATCAAATATAAGAAAATTATGTTATTTCTGGGGCAAGATAAATTACAGTTTTCTTGTTTAACTTTCCTTCTTTGTAACATTTGATTGACAAATCGTAGAGAGTAAGTAAGATGGTTTGACATGCTGAAACAAAGAAAGCTTCCTCTAGCTGTGGGACACGTTGTTCCACCATTTAAGTATAATGGCTGGTATTCCACTGCTGATGACTGTTCTCCCGATAAATCCAATGGCTGAATATCAGTTTATATTAAACAATAACCGCCAGCTGTTAGATAACACAGTTTCACATTCTGCTTTCTGTCTGTCTGGACGTACCTAATGATGAGCAATTTATTTTTATAGTGCTGGTGGTCAATATGAACTTTTCTTTCTTTCTGTTTTGTATGTTTCAAACACTGGCTGTCGTAAAAGAAAACAAATACGATGCACATTTATGTGTCTTTATTTATGATGTTTTGGTATCAACTTAGCTCTTTTCGTGTGTATTTGAATCGTTAGGTAAAAAATGCATGGAAGATATAAAAATGATGGGAAGTGTGTGTTAAATAATCTGATCATTTGAATCTTCTGTCAAAATAAAATTGTTAAGTAAATTTTGTGAATGCTGAGATACAAAAATTGTGTTAGTATTGTTTTTGACTGAACATTTATTTAGTAAAGAGGAGAGTTAACTGCTTGTGACGTAAGGTTTGATGTATCAAAATGTCCGTGTGATGTGTCACTCGTAGATGTTACCTAACAAGGCTTTTGTCATTGTTGTATTGTGGAAAAGAGTTTGTACATCAAACACAATTTAAACAGACTTATACTCAAAATGTTTTTACTTGACCAGTCAGAATAAAAATCGTAATGATTATCCAAATTTTAAATTCATTGTTAAATGTATAAGATGTCTCAATTTCAATTCTGGTTCCTTCATATTTAACGCAGGTTTTGCTTTTTTCATAGAAAACGAACGATATTAGTATTTTTTTTTATAGAATCAGTTGTTAGTTTAAAAATAACATCCAGGTCACAACTGTTACTGAATGAGTGTGAAGGTGTTGTACAGATGTAGATATATGAGTTTTTCCTTTCCCTGCGTCACAGGAGATGAAAGTACAGGAACCCCAGGTATTGATAACACTTTAACAGCATCAAGTTCAGCCCAGACACAGCATTTTGCAGATTTATAATAAGAGACAGTCTATATATATATAAATTAAACAAAGTGAGTCAGTTCTCCAACACGTCAATACAGCTGTAATTAGGAAACTTCGGAAAGGAAGGATTATCAAAACAGACAAACACATATCAACCTCAATATGAGTCAACAGGAAAAAACTCACCTGGCTCCATGTCATGAATTTGTACATAGAACGTTACTATGGTAACCAAAATTACAAAATCTGCAAAATGTTATGTCGGTGAACTTTGAACTGATAAATTGCCAGTTTCTATTTTTGTTGCTATTAAACAGATGCAATTGATGATATAATCGCTAAAAGCTTTCTTCTTAGGCATGCTATTACTCATTCTTTCTGTGCTAGTTGCATTAATTGTTTCAAGGACTTTATCAGCATTTTAATATTACTCAAAACTTGCTACATCAGGGTAAAAACACTACACTGTGATGGAGGGTATAGGGACTAATTGTTTGCTCACTTCCTATAAAGGACTGGTGAGCTTATGCCATGCCCATGGCACATCTGTCCTGACTCCTCTGTCATTCGGCATCCATCAACTTTTTCCTTTAAAACTTTACTTTTCCTGAACAACATATACCAGTGAATACCCTGAGGGAAAAAGGCAGGGCCCTGTAAGGGAAATTGTTAAATTTCAGCTTTTAAAAGACTATTTCTCCTGAAGTACTACACAAATTTCTACCATATTTGATCTGAAACAGAACAAGGGCAAGTGATCATTTTTGTATAAATGGATTTTGAGATTCCCACCTTACAATTATATACAATTGCCAATTGCTCAGCATGAAGAAACAAAGACATTTATCCTACTAGGATTGGCCCCAGAGTCAATCCCATGCCTGGGCACTTACTCCCCTTTGTCATAACATGGAAACAGTTGAGACCCTCACCTCATAACCTTACGGTATATGAAATTCCTGGGCATCAAAAAACGAATACACTAATGCTACCATAAATGTTCTTATGTCTTGCCTGCCCCGGGGGATTTAGTCCTAATGTTAAGCATACATTTTATGTACTCTTTTAAGTAAGTTATTAAGGCCTGGGGCCTCTTGTATATTTCAGGGAGAAGGATACCTAGCATGATATTTGGTGGAATAATGCATTATATGTAAAACAATTACGCGCTTGATCTCTTATATTATTGGATATCTCTGGTACTTTGGTGTCATAATGGCTGCTATGATGTCATAATGGTTGCTGTAATGTCATAATGGCTGCTGTGATGTCATCATGGTTTCTGTGATGTCATAAAGACTACTGTGATGCCATAATGACTGCTGTGATGTCTTAATGTATGATGCCATGGTGTTGTCCACTATGATGTTATGGTGACTGCTATGACATCAAAATAACTGGAGTGCAGATGTCATCAGTTGTGTCTCGGGACTTGTAGGTACTGTAGCGGGGTGTATGTTACAGTTGTGTCTGGGGACTTGTAGGTACTGTATTGGGGTGTTTGTTACAGTTGTGTCTTGGGACTTGTAGGTACTGTATTGGGGTGTATGGTACAGTTGTGTCTCGGGACTTGTAGGTGCTGTATTGGGGTGTATGGTACAGTTGTGTCTCGGGACTTGTAGGTGTACTGTATTGGGGTGTATACAGTTGTGTCTCGGGACTTGTAGGTACTGTATTGGGGTGTATGGTACAGTTGTGTCTCGGGACTTGTAGGTACTGTATTGGGGTGTACGGTACAGTTGTGTCTTGGGACTTGTAGGTACTGTATTGGGGTGTATGGTACAGTTGTGTCTCGGGACTTGTAGGTACTGTATTGGGGTGTATGGTACAGTTGTGTCTCGGGACTTGTAGGTACTGTATTGGGGTGTATGGTACAGTTGTGTCTCGGGACTTGTAGGTACTGTATTGGGGTGTATGGTACAGTTGTGTCTCGGGACTTGTAGGTACTGTATTGGGGTGTATGGTACAGTTGTGTCTCGGGACTTGTAGGTACTGTATTGGGGTGTATGGTACAGTTGTGTCTCGGGACTTGTAGGTACTGTATTGGGGTGTATGGTACAGTTGTGTCTCGGGACTTGTAGGTACTGTATTGGGGTGTATGGTACAGTTGTGTCTCGGGACTTGTAGGTACTGTATTGGGGTGTATGGTACAGTTGTGTCTCGGGACTTGTAGGTACTGTATTGGGGTGTATGGTACAGTTGTGTCTCGGGACTTGTAGGTACTGTATTGGGGTGTATGGTACAGTTGTGTCTCGGGACTTGTAGGTACTGTATTGGGGTGTATGGTACAGTTGTGTCTCGGGACTTGTAGGTACTGTATTGGGGTGTATGGTACAGTTGTGTCTCGGGACTTGTAGGTACTGTATTGGGGTGTATGGTACAGTTGTGTCTCGGGACTTGTAGGTACTGTATTGGGGTGTATGGTACAGTTGTGTCTCGGGACTTGTAGGTACTGTATTGGGGTGTATGGTACAGTTGTGTCTCGGGACTTGTAGGTACTGTATTGGGATGTATGGTACAGTTGTGTCTAGGGACTTGTAGGTACTGTATTGGGGTGTATACAGTTGTGTCTCGAACTTGTAGGTACTGTATTGGGGTATATGGTACAGTTGTGTCTCGGGTTGTAGGAACTGTATTGGGGTGTATGGTACAGTTGTGTCTCGGGACTTGTAGGTACTGTATTGGGGGGTCTCGGGACTTGTAGGTACTGTATTGGGGTGGATGGTACAGTTGTGTCTCGGGACTTGTAGCAGTACTGTATTGGGGTGTATACAGGTGTGTCTCCTGACTTGTAGGTACTGTATTGGGGTGTCTCGGGACTTGTAGGGACTGTATTGGGGTGTATACAGTTGTGTCTCGAGCTTGTAGGTACTGTATTGGGGTATATGGTTCAGTTGTGTCTCGGGTTGTAGGAACTGTATTGGGGTGTATGGTACAGTTGTGTCTCGGGTCTTGTAGGTACTGTATTGGGGTGTATGGTACAGTTGTGGCTCGGGACTTGTAGGTACTGTATTGGGATGTATGGTACAGTTGTGTTGGGACTTGTAGGTGCTGTATTGGGGTGTATGGTACAGTTGTGTCTCGGGACTTGTAGGTACTGTATTGGGGTGTCTCGGGACTTGTAGGGACTGTATTGGGGTGTATGGTACCGTTGTGTCTCGGGACTTGTAGGTACTGAATTGGGGTGTATGGTACAGTTGTGTCTCGGCACTTGTAGGTACTGTATTGGGGTGTAGTATACGGTACAGTTGTGTCTTTGGACTTGTAGGTACTGTTTTGTGGTGTATGGTACAGTTGTGTCTCGGGACTTGTAGGTACTGTATTGGGGTGTAGTATACGGTACAGTTGTGTCTTGGGACTTGTAGGTACTGTTTTGTGGTGTATGTTCCAGTTGTGTCTCGGGACTTGTAGGTACTGTATTGGGGTGTATGTTACAGTTGTGTCTAGGGACTTGTAGGTACTGTATTGGGGTGTATGGTACAGGTGTGTCTCGGGACTTGTAGGTACTGTATTGGGGTGTATACAGTTGTGTCCTGGGACTTGTAGGTACTGTATTGGGGTGTATGTTACAGTTGTGTCTCGGGACTTGTAGGTACTGTAGCGGGGTGTATGTTACAGTTGTGTCTGGGGACTTGTAGGTACTGTATTGGGGTGTTTGTTACAGTTGTGTCTTGGGACTTGTAGGTACTGTATTGGGGTATATGGTACAGTTGTATCTCGGGACTTGTAGGTACTGTATTGGGGTGTACGGTACAGTTGTGTCTCGGGACTTGTAGGTACTGTATTGGGGTTTATGGTACAGTTGTGTTTCGGGACTTGTAGGTGCTGTATTGGGGTTTATGGTACAGTTGCTGTCAATACAATGTACATGTACTCATCTTGATTTATTTAATAGTTCATGGACATTACCGGTTGTGCTTGTTAGCTGTTCTGATAGAACGATCTATACCAAATTGAAGAAATGAGAATGTTTGAATTATAGGACGAAGCAGGAAGTTGAATTGATACAACCTCATGATTATAGAAAAAACATATGAATACTAGTTATTGAAAGTGAAAAAATCATTTTTTTATATATTCTGCAATAAAATATAGACATCCACCTACCTATAATGACTATTTGTATAGACTTACTGGCTATAAAGAGACTATAACTGACTATAAACGCCAAAATGTATACATCATTTATTTTTTGTACGGCTTGTAACTTCTATCTTCCAGATGTCATGCATAAATAAATAGCAATCACATATTTTTCTAAAAAACAATTGACAGCATTTATGACATATTTTAATGAATTTTTATAGATGATTTTAACTAACGGTCGATTGTGTTATTTGGTGGAAGTGTTTAAGTGTCGTGATAGTTTTTGTCAACTCATTTGTGAAACTCACTAGCTTATGATCGTTTAAAACAGCCTTGTCATTAACTGTACTAGATATATGTGTTTGAACCATTTTGTCCAATCAGATTGGTTCTTTTTGTTTTAGGAATTAAAAGCTGTTGCTTGATTGGCTTAAAATATCATTCATGTGTATACTTTTCAGGGTGTATTCTTGTTAATTATTGAATTGCCTGCACTTAACGGGAATACATTATGGCATTATTTATTTTTTCCAAAATCAAGTCAACAGGAATTTGAAGGTTTAAAGCACTGAGGCATGGGAATTTACAGTTAAAAAAGTATATACGGCGTAATTTTGGCTGAGAATCCGTAAGAGCTTTATTAGCTGTTTTGGTGTTTCATGTCCTTATTTGAATGGAATTGTCCATATTTATTTACTTTTTAATGTGTAGGAGCATGAAGCATGAATGACGTTCTCTTACACCCATTTCAAGCAGACGGATTATCTCAAGAATATGAAGTTCTGTTTCTCACCACTTTTTATAGATGAGAGAATTTTACTGTCTTCAACTGTATATCATTCACCTGAATTAAAATTAAAGATACTTAAGTCTTAAATCTCACAA